TTTCAAGATTTGTATTAGTTTATATGATTAGGCTAAGTTCTTGAAGATTGTTGATATGAATTATCTTGTCCTTATGAGTTTAACTAGATTATGGATGAATTATTTGATTATTGTGTTAATTCAAAAATAATGGTTTAAATGATTTTAATGACTTCCATAACTTGTCCTCAAATTATGGAAAATGAAAAGTCTCATATATTAAAATGACATTGAACTCATAAGTTATGGAAATGAAAGGATGATTATCAAATATTAAGATAATAAGTTAATTATTTGTATTATTTGATATGAATTACCTTACTATATGAGTTAGATTAGATCAATAGAATATTATATGATAATTTTTCTTTGTTAGAATTGTTCTAGATGTTTTAATGAGTTCCATAACTTGTCCTTAAGTTATGGAACATGAAAATCTTATCATAAATGTTTTTATGAACTTCATAAATTGTCCTCAAGTTATGAAAAATGAAGAGTCGATTCATAAAACCCATCATTAAATCATAAGTATTAAAATGGAAGAGTTTTGACAAGTTTCAAAACATGCCCTCAAGTTTTGGAATTTTTAAAGTCTCACTAATGAAACTTTAATTCCAAACCCTAGAGTTTTAAAAGTTAAAATTCAACCCTTATACTTTATAATATTACAAGTTTAATAATACATATATGTATAAGACAAGTCAGTCTTACCGTTAGTAGGCCTCATTCATGAAGCTGGTCTGTAAGGGGGGTATAAGGTTACTGCCTATAAAATGGTGGTTTAATGGGTATGCACTCTCACCCACCGCTTCCTTAATTGGTGGAGGGTCGTTAGTCGAACGGGGTCAGATAGGACATTAATTCTCCCTCATTAAAAGTATAATGATAAAAAAATAAAGTAACTAAACTTTTACTAAATTCCCAATCTTAGTTACTTTAGGAAAAATGTGAAAAAGGTGCTAATCCATGAAATTACACTTTGCACCTTGTTAAATCGTTAGTGGAGCGTGTGTGGTTAACCGACACACTAATCTTGGACTGACAATGAGTGGAAAAGGGTAACTTGATGTTAATCATAGATCAATGGAGTGTGTGTGGTTAACCAGCACATTAATTAGGTGATTTGTAACATTGGGTGTACCAAGCTAGTTTGCATGGTTATTCACACCTTGTTTGTAATCCTCGACATCCCAGTCACAAACTTGGAGGGAACAATTGAGATTTAAACATGCCATTGAAAAGTTCAATGAATCTCAAAGGATCTAGGAATTTCAAATCCAATTAAAACTTAATAATCTATTTTGTTTTTCATGGTAGAAATTGGTAAATTGCCATTTACATACCTTCAAATATTTTACAATTGGATCAAGGCATCCCTCTTCGCAATTGTTAAATATTGTGTTAGGTCTTAGCATTAATATTCCGTTTTGAATGTTATATTAAGGACTTAAATCAACTAACTTGAATTTCTCCCTTATATATGTCTAGGTCAGACAATTATGGTCTTCCCGAACTTGTTGGAAAAGGCTTTCCACATGAAGATGATATTCCATAATAGCATACTTCACTTCCTCCACCTCCTCTAATTATTCTCCCTGACCCACAAGCTTGAAGACTTGAAAAGTTCAAGGTCACTCAATCCCTACTTGACATGAAACATCAAGATGGAAAGTCTATATGTGCTCATGTGTTGGACATAAAGCTGCATATTGACAGGCTGGGAATGTTGTTGTGTTCCCGAGGAAGTCGGCTATTGACTTGGTTCTTCAGTCACTTCCCAAGTCATATAGTGAGCTCGTTAAAGACTATTATATGACATATCATGACATGACCCTTATTGATCTTTCCTATTTGCTAATTGATGCTGAATCAACAATGATTTGGCACAATGATCAAGCAAACATGATTGGAAGATCTACTTCCCAAGTTGCCATGAATATAGGCAATGACATCGATAGCCCATAAAAGATTCCTTATTCGAAAGGAAAGGAATTGGCTGTGGTCAAAAGCTTTGATCACAAGAGAAAGGCCGGTTCTGGGATTGTCTCATGTGCCAATGCAAAAGAAGCCATTTGTTTCTACTGCTATTTGAAGGGACATTGGAAGCGAAGCTGCCTAGACTACCTGAAAGATCTAAGAGAAGGTTGAATCAAAATGTTTGACTCTACTTCAGGTAAGTCCAGTATCTAACTCTATTAAGTTCCTATTTGGAGATTCTTAATACATGATGTAGTGTAATTAAATTTTGATGTTTTGCAGGATCGAAGAAAAGAAAGGAAGCTTAAAGGAAAAGCAAGTTGATTCTGATCGTGAAAAGATGGATTTCAATCGCATAGTTCGATGATCAGAATTTTGAGTTGTTGCTTAAGAGATTTTTAGATTGCTTAGAAATATGTAATAACTTAGTTTTCCTTCGTAATTACATTATAAGGAAAAGTTTTTCTGTGATTATATAAATAAAGAAAAAAATTATTTTATCTTATTGTATATCTCCTTACAATGACATTTGTGAAAATTGATGTTTATGTATATTCTAACAATATTAAAATGGATTTGATTCTTTCGTTTGTGGTAGTATCTAATTTAACCAAATAAGGAAAGATTCTCATCACCCATGTTTCAATTGGATAAAACTTGGAATCATGCAACTTGTATTGTATGATGAATGAGAATTTTCATCTTTGGGACATTAAGACTAATTCCTTGTCCGCATGTATATGTGAGTCAAGTGAAGGACTAGTGGATCGGGTATACTTGGTTGTGCGCTGGTCAAGTCTATCACAAAGAATGATAAGACTATTTTTCATGATTTAGTAAAGTTAGTAAATTTGGTTATGCTTACAAGATTAAGTATAATTCCAAGTCATTGAAAAGTCTCGATGTATAGAAAAAACGAATAAGAAGAATCAAAGTCGGCAGAAAGATAAAAGTTTCTCCAATCTAAAAAGATAGAAGAGTATTTAAGTATCGTGTTTTATCATCATCTTAATGATTATGAAACCTATATCACAATTTGATCCTCTAAGGATGCCTTAGTGCATTTATTTGGCCAAGAAGAGGAATCGGGAATTGTTGAAATGGTTAAATCAATTAAGATGAACCATACATCGTTCCAAAATCAAATCTTAGAGTCATACTCCAAGATTGTATATTGAGTGACATATCATGAAATGTAGAGTAAAATGTTTTCTACTCTTGTACATTTGAAATTGGTAAGTTGTGATGTCTTGGATAAGACAAAGACCAACTAAGACCAATTGTATGTAGTGTTTGTCTTGATAAGAAATCGCACTGCCTCTTGAATATTTGTTTGTGAAGCAATGTTTCTTGACAAAGAGAAACTTATATGTCAAGAGGTCAGTGGGATTCTTAAAGATCTTGAAAAGTTTTAAGAACTAATCAAGAGTCAAACTATTGCTAATCACTAGCACACGACTTGAGGTTTGCAACCTATCGTGTTGACTTATTCTTGTTTCTGTGCCAATTCCAGTTAAAGTAGAATATGCTTGAGTTCTATGAGTTCTCAACTGTTTGCATAGGGCAAAGCACCTTGATCAGTGAAAGTCATTGATCTGTAAAGGTGATTTGTTCAATAACTTGAAAGACACGGTAGGCCCTTATGCTGCCAAGTGGTAAGAAATTAAGATTAGATAGGTTTAGTCCATATGAGTTTGGATTTGTCACTAACCTTGTCTTAAGAGTATGGTTATGACATATTCACATGGATAGGAACACATACACCTTAAAAATTTAAGTGTCATAAGATTTCCCTCCAATGCAACCTTTAAATTTGGACGAAATATACTTGTTGCCTTATTTAATTGGCTAAATACTATTTCAAGGGATCCATAACACAAAAAGTTAATTCATTGACCAAAAAAGACCGAAATTGATAGGTTAATGTTGCTCCAATATCGTTAACCCTAAATAAACCAGTAAAATCTTCTTTTTTATTACCATAACCATGTTCGTACAATGTATATCTAGTAGATCAAAAGGGTGTTTGAGATTGTTTATTTAAAAAACCGCCCACATGGATCGTTGAAGCTGCAAGATATTCTTTCACTAGCTCTATGAGGGGAAAAATAACTGAGGATTTCCCCAATTCGATTTACGAAAGGTGAAAGCTTATTCTTATTCCATGTACTTCAGGTAGAAGACAACAACATTCTCATGATTTGTTTTAGGGTTCTTCAATATTTGATTGTGAGGATGAAGAGAATAAAATTTATGTGTGGATTTACCAAGGATTTGTCGTGGAATCTTACCTAATAAGTTGAGACACATTGGGGTTTATGTGGACTAAAATAGTAAGCGACATCATTACTTCCATCTCAAAAATGCAACCTTTAAGCTTGGACGGTGAATACACACGTTGTCTTATTTAATGGATCAAATACCGTTTTAGGGGATCCATAATATCAAAAACTTAGTTTGTTGACCAAATAAGACCGGAGCTGATAGTTTATTGTGTTACAATATCATTAATCCTAAATAAAATAATAAAATCTTCTTTTTTATTACCATAACCATGTTCATACAATGTATACCTAGTAGATCAAAAGGGTGTTTGAGATTATTTATTTAAAACAATTTTTAAGTGTATTAATTTATCCAGTGTAAAAATAGAGGTTTAAGACAAAAATATTTGGATTAACTTATAAGTATCAAAAAAATAATAAATTAATATATTGTTTTTTAAGGTTTGACCGGAAAAGGACATTTTAGATATCATCACTTTTTTGTTTCTTTAAAACGTATTATTTAGTTTCTACCTTAATAAGGAGTTTTAATAAGTTAACAACCTATCAAAATATATTTATTATTGGTACCAAAAATGCTTATTATCTAAGCTAATATTCCCTTTAAATAAGTAATCCCAAAAGAACCCCATAACTTAGACTCCATTTCACATCACCAAATCTACTTATCTAGGCAATACTATTCTTCAACTTGGTTAATCAAACAATTGAGGTCTTAGTCCATATTTTACAAGTTTCGTCATGCACATAGTATGATAGTGCAACCAGAAAGACCTTATGTTGATTTCATATGATCAAATGAATCAAGAACTATATATCATTTCCCACATACTTATTCATAATCAAGATAATCCCGATAATACAACAAGAAAAATACACTATATTGTAAGAAATCCTCATATTAATCTCACAATCTCAACATACAATCAATAACATAATCAAGAAAAGGAAACAAACCAACCAAAATAACTTCAAACCTTACGGTTATGCCACAACGGGTGTCTTTCGGTTAGGCTCAAACACAAACTTCACAAGAGATTCTTTGATCGATAAAAGCTCGGGGAACTCTTTTTTCAACTTAGAAGTGTCAAGTTCATTGTTGCTTCTTGGTGCAATTATAACTTTTGCTTGCTCTTCAAGAGTGAAGTTCTTCCATGTGTAGCTTGAATCAATGTACTCTTTATACAACTCCAAGACCTCATTGTGGCTAACACAACCAGGGTTAGTGAAGTTGTAGATACCGGTTAGGTTTCTTTTTGCCATTTCAATGGAGATTGGGAGGAGTTCATCAAGAATGGTCATGGAGTTTGGAATGTCTACAACTTTTTCATATCGACTGATTTTTGTGATGAAGTTTCGGGGGTTTGTAAGATCGGATGAAATCGGCATTCTTACACGCAATGTGCATACATTTTCATAGTTTTTGAGCAATTCCTCTACCTGTGGATCAAACAAATTAGTTTACTTTGGTGTGTAAATTATAATTGGGTGGATTTTTTAAAAGTACAACTGACCTAATATAAGAAGTTGGATAAGTGGCAACATGCATGAAGTGTTTTTCATAAGATTTTTGAAGTACAATGTTGTAACAAAAAGAAATGAAAGAAGGATGTTAAAATACACAACTAAATGAAAGTGTGTTCTTATATCTTGCATTTAACCTTTGTTCATGATCTTAGGTATCCAAACATAGTTTTATTTTGTAAAATTGAAATAAATATGGGAGCTATAAAATGGGAGATGGAAGTAGATTAAACTAAAAAAGTTCACTTTTTGACAAAATGCAAACCAAGATCTTCGATCTAACACGTTTTATGAACAAATTCACACAAAAACGTAATAAAAACACAAAATTGTCAAAAGGTGTATTAAAGTATGAAAAAAGAATAAATCTTCAAAATTGAAGTGATTATGCAGTAAGTCAACTTAGGTTAATACTTTCATTTTGTGGGTCCCAAATTATACTTCTCTATAAAGTAAGAGGTCAAATTGACCATGAAACAAGACACAAAACAAGCTTAAGCTAATGAAAGTTTTTTTTTTCCTTGAAAATGTATATCAAGATCTTAGATCCACCACATTTCTATCAACATATTCACTTATTCACACAAAAACATCATACGAACGCAAAATCTTCAAAGGTGTACACTAAAGTATGAAAAAAAAATGGAATCTTGAAATAAATATTAAATCTTCTTACAATTTATCTTTGTCCTATGGTTTTTGTTTCATGGGACCCATATTATATTATAGGTCTCATTTAAGTAAAAACTAGTGTGGACACATGAAATGAGGCATAAGTGTAAAAGTAAACTAACAAAAGCTCAGATTTTTCTTTATAATGGCTATATAGATCTTATATCCACCATTCTTTTATCAAAAAAATTTAAACAAAAATATCTAAATAACACAAAATCCTCACATGGGTCATTGCTCAAAATCTTCAACATTATACTAATGTTGAATAAATTGAAATCTTGAAGTAAATATGAAGTTTTCTTACACGATCATAGCTTTACCCATTGGTGGGTCCCAAATCATAGCTTTCGTTATGGTAAAAAGTTAGTATGGACCCATGAAATGACACATAAACCATAAATATAATGAAAGCTTGGATCTTTCTTTAAAATGCACATCAAGACCTTAGATCTACCACATTTTCATAAAAAAATTCACACAAAACATATCATAAAAGCACAAAGTTATCACAAGGTTCATTGCAAAACTTTAACATTGTCCTAAAAATGGAATCTTAAAGGGTCCCACATTATAGCTTTCTTTTAGGCAAGAAGATAGTATAGATCTATGAAATGAAAATGTCAAATAGAATGAAAGCTAAATATTTATTTAAAATGTACATCAATATCTTAGATCCACCACATTTTTATCAAGATCTCACCCAACTCTTTAACAAACATTTAAAAAAAAAAAAAAAAAAAAAACGAAGTTTTATTATTTTGAGTCCCAAATATAATACGACCCGTGAAAGGAGGCACAATTTTCTATATGCAAGTGAAAGATTTTAGATTTGTGTTAAAAATTCACATCAAGATCTTTCGATCCACCTCATTTTTCAAGAAATTCACATAAAAATATCACAAAATCATCAAATGGGCAATCGAAATCATCAAGATTCTACCAACATTTGAAAAAAAAAAATGAAATCTTGAAATAATAATACCAAATTTTCTTAGAATATTACCATTGCTTTAGTCTTGGAGTAGTAAGATCCGATGAAATTTGGAGTATCCTCTTCCTTAAACCCGACACCCGACCCGAGTTGATGCTCCGAATCATACTCGAATATACATCCAGTAGCATAGTTGATCAAAATCAACCCCTTTTCACGGCAAACGTCGGCGAGAGTTAGGGTTCCGACGACGTTAGTACGTATGGTCTCCACCTTGTGTGACTCACACCAGTCAACGTTTGGGCGGCCGGTAACTCCGGCAGCGTTGAATACATGGGTAGGATTGACGGCGGTGATGTCAGCGATAAGGGTGTCGCGAGACTCAAGACGGCCGGAGCCGTAGGTGTACTCGATGCCTTGAGCTTCGCAGAGTTTGCCCAATAGACCACCAATCCAACCGGTACGGCCGTAGATCAAGAACTTAAATGGCGTCGCCGGCGTGCCGTTGGATTGGGAAACCATTATGAGGTGGTGAGAGTGAGAGAGAGAGATTTACCGATGGGGTGAATCTGACTCCGGCGAGTGTGTGATTGTTTATAGGAAGAGAGATATTCGCCAGCTGTTTTTATTTGTGTTGTTTACTTGAGATGAGATCTTGACACACTGTCGGTTTGGAGTGAAGTTAGCAAAGTTGAAATCGATAAAATCATTTATATTTATAAAAAAAACAACACGTTCAAAATGTAACATTATGCAATTAATTTAATAATTAACATTATGCAATTAATTTAATATTTATAGTGTTGTGCAGGTCGGAATGATGCGGGTGGATTGAAATCGATATTGAAGTAAGATATTATAACATGAGAAGTAAAAATGGAACACATATTTCAAGAGGTAGCTTGATATTTTGTTGCACTTGAATCAACAACATTCAAACATATCTTTTACAATCAATGAAGAAGTAAAAGCAGGGTCCTACAATTTCATTGAATTTCAATCCTAACAATTCTACTAAGATGTTACATGTCACATCTCTGCCACTATATAATGGCACTGATGTTGGAGGTGGTGATCCGACGGTAGTGGTGGATATTTCAACTTATTTCGATGAATCATTTGTCATTATATATATATATATAATATATATATATATATATATATATATATATATATATATATATATATATATAGATATAGATAGGTTCAAGTTCATTTGAAACCATTTTAATTTTGTGAGGTCGTGAGATTAAATCTAAAAATAATTTTAAAATGCAAGATAAATGGAAAAATCCAAAAATTCTTTTTTTAAATATTATTTTCGGAACTTGAATTAACTAAAGAAAATATAAAAAAAAATTAAAAAAAATCCGTTTTTTTTAAATACGTGAAATATTCTAAATAGAATATATATTACACTGACATATTCTAAAAAAATAATTTTAAAATGCAAAATAAATGGAAAAATCTAAAAATTCTTTTTTTAAATATTATTTTCGGAACATGAATTAACTAAAAAAAAAATAAAAAAAAATGCATCTCACGGTCTCACAAAATATAGGTGGTCTCAAATGAACCTAACCCTATATATATATATATATATATATATATATATATATATATATATATATATATAGTAAATTACTAAAATCGTCCATGTGGTTTGATCAAAATTGCACGTTTGGTCCCTAATTTTTTTTTTTGCACTCGGATCGTCGTTGTGGTTTGATTTTGTTGCGTTTTTCGTCCCTGTGGTTTGATTTTGTTGTATTTTTCGTCCCTTAGGTGGTGGTGGATATTCAACTTATTTCGATGAATCATGTGTCCTATATATATATATATATATATATATATATATATATATATATATATATATATATATATATATATATATATATATATATATATATATATATATATAGTAAATTACTGAAATCGTCCATGTGGTTTGATCAAAATTGCACGTTTGGTCCCTAATTTTTTTTTTTGCACTCAGATCGTCGCTGTGGTTTGATTTTGTTGCGTTTTTTCGTCCCTGTGGTTTGATTTTGTTGTATTTTCCGTCCCTTACATACATAAAGTTGGGGACCAAACATGCAATTTTTACTAAACCATAGGGACGAAAACCACAACAAAATCAAACCACAGGGACGATCCGAGTGTAAAAAAAAGTTAGGGACCAAACGTGCAATTTTGATCAAACCACAGGGACGATTTCAGTAATTTACTCATTATATATATATTATATATATATATATTATATATATATATATATATTTATATTATATATATATATATAATATATATATATATATATATATATATATATATATATATATTCAATAAACCATTTAATCGTAAAAAATTCCAACTTTCACTTTTTTCTTCAACAAAACAATGTTATTGAATCTCTAAAAGCTTCTCTTGATTATGTTTTAAATTTGTAAGATGGTTCTAAAACTTAAAACATCAATAATATATATATATATATATATATATATATATATATATATATATATATATATATATATATAGCATTAACTTGATGAAAAAACAGAGAATATGATGGTGGTCTGTAGATTTATCATATGTATCTGTAGAACACAAAAAATCATCAAAAAAAAACACAAAAGAAGCCAAATAAAGCAATTCTAAAATCAAACTAACCATGACAATCTTTAAGTCATCATCAAAACTCCATAAGACATCTTATGTTAACCCTCACTCCCAAAGCACCTTAGTAGATTTCTCTACAGTAGTTTTCAATTTTTATAAGAAAACTTAGCAAATCTTGAAGGCTATTAATTATATAAAAAATTAATTGCAACTTTTTGTACTAACGATCAACATTTTTTAGAATTAGGTGAAACAATCCTTACTATAGAGATAAACAAATAGAAATATGAGTTGCATTTTGAGGAACATTAGAATTCATGAAAAAAATACTTTTTAAATATGTAAATTTAATAAAAAGATCAAGCACTTACCTTGATCCACCAATCCTAATGAGATCAATATACGTTGTCAGAAACTACATGCTACAAATTTGAGACCGCATGCAGCAAATTGATACCACTTGACCATATAAGAACCTGAAACTGAACGAGAAATTGAGTCGACAACAAATTTTATCAAAATAGTGAAATAAGTTCGATAACTTTTCATAAATAATTGACAGTTTAATGGAATGGTTAGATGTAGAAGAGCATGAAATGGACTTCTCTTTTTCATAACAAATGAATATTTTGCTCTATTTTGGTTATGTTTTACTGTGAACCTGTATTATCAAATATCAAGAATTGATGTTGATATTTTACAACTATAAGAATGTCATAATTTGAAATAGTAGTAGAAGTTTACCTTCTTCTTGTGGTGACACCTTGTTATTTGCAATGCATACTTATTTCAAAAACCCCATCCCTGATTTCACATTTGTGCAGAAGCACATCTGCAATACAAACATTTGGACATATGTTGATTTAACATTTCAAGGCCTATAAAATAGACTCAACAGTAAACAATTTTCATATAAGTATAAAAATATTGCAATAAAGCTTAAAATTAGAATCCATACATGTGACCCTCAAAGTAAAAGTATATTCCAATTTACCTGGAATAACTTTCAATTAAGTCTCTTGTTGGAGAAAATATGTGTACTTACATCTTCCAAACACCTAGAAGCCCAAAAAAACCACTTGTTAATGGTTTGTAGCATCTAGTCAACACCGTGGGGAGAAGGTTTTGTAGTGAAGTGTCTCCGCTTCCCATGGTCTGTTGATTTCATGAATTGCAGCTAAGCTCAGATCGATTGAATATTATTTCAATTTGATCACTAAAATATTATAAACGTCGAATATAACCAAAAAAACATATAACAGTGATTGAAAACATCAAATTGTAACAATAACCAAAATGGAAAAGCAATAGCAAAGTCTTTTCAAGCCATTCAATGCCTTCAACTTCATAAACAATAGATAATCCTAGATTTTGTACCTTTTTTTATTGCTTCTTCTTCTGTTCTAGATGATTGTACACGTAAAACACATCCAAAAATTTCCTCTCCAAATTTGCATGGATGTGGTGACATCACTGATTATTGTTGCCTCAATGTAAAATCCGCTTTTTAAATGCTGAAATATTTATATAATATGTAAGTTTCGAATTTAAAAATTAATTTCAGATGACAATAGAAAGTCTTAAGTTTTACCTCGGGACGTTTTCCTCCAAATGAATTGGTTGCACATTCACTTTTGGCAGTGTCAACAAATTTTAATCTTTTTGTAACAAATATTGAGAAATTCTTATTTGGATAATTTATTATTATTATTATTATTATTATTATTATTATTATATATATATATATATATATATATATATATATATATATATATATATATATATATTTCTACATGTGCATCACTAACAACAGGTCCAAGCCTACAACCTTCTTCTAATGGATATGAAATCTTGATATTTTTAGCCCATTTCACAAGCTTCTCTAAAAACTCCTTAGCAATACTTTCCTGAAACATGAATATAATTATATAGTTAATTAAATGGTAATTATAATTTGAATAATCGTTAATTACTACAGACTTACATGCACTATGTGACAACCCTATATTTTTCCAAAGCAATGTAACACTCAAAAGTCTAATACAATGAAACTATTTGGAATCAACGGAATTAACCTCAAAAATAAAATGTTCAAAATCTAACGTTGGGATGCATCAAATGATAGATATCGTGCCAAGGTTTCCAAAAACATAAAGAACATTCAAAACTGAGTTATAATGAAAAGATTTTGACTACTCAAATATTCACGACACACCCGGTAAGACATTATTAAACGTAAAATGAGAAAATTCAATAAAATGCATTTTAGCCTTAAGTATCTAAACAAAAGTCGTAGATTACGTTAAACGGTGAACATGCATAAAAAGAACGCCCAAATTGGACCTCGTATGAAGAAGTTACGAATTTTCAAAGTTTCGTAACAGTAGTAAAGAGCTAAAAACTCGAATTGAAGATCAAACGATATTTAGCTAACGCAACCTAAATGAAAGTTGAAGGTCTCCACAATAGGAGTAAGATAATAAAAAGACAAATGAAAACAGATGTCGGATAAGGAAGTCATGCATTTTTAACGGACTTTAGCAGTCCTGGCCTATTAAAAACATAGCATTAAAAATAAATTCAAAACTAGCCGACGGAGTCTAAATGAACGTCGTAGAGCGTAATCTCACCTACGCGTAGATATAAAGAATGCGAAAAACGGAGCCCGTACGCGAAAGTTACGAAATTTAGAAAATTAAAGCTGGGATTACGCCCAACGTACTTCAAGAGTATGCCCAGCGTACTCAGGTGCAGGGTCGAGTCCCATCGGCTGCAAGCTCTACGTCTAGCTAGACCCGAGTTGTAAGCCATGACGCAAAGTTACGCCCAGCGTAACTGAAGTACGCCCAGCGTACTCCGGTGGTACGCCCAGTGTACTCGCGCCCTCAACCCTATAAATAGAAAGCATGGACTCTGGATTTTTGGCACCTTTTCTCAAACCCTCACTCACTCTCACACACTTGTAAGCACCAGAGGCCATCCCGACACCCTCGGTTCCACGCTCGAGCCCCCGACAAAGGTTCTACGCTACCGAGATCCCCGAGAAGCTCGAAGATGCAACTTTCCGCAGTCGAAGTTCTGCCCGACTTTAGCCCCACACTCTTCAAACCGAACAAGTGAGTTCATACCCCTACTTTTCAAGTCTTTTCATGTTTTAGGGGGGACTACAAGTACAATACAAGAAAACGTATCGTTATAAATACAACATCTATCCTACTTTACGTATAAGGTTTAGTATTTTACCAAGTTATTTTCATCAAATGGAACATACTTTCTGAAAAACTATAATGGGTATAGTTTGCGAGTTATTCATACATTCTTACGTATACATATTGAAAAACGAAATGCTTTCATCTAAAGTAAAACAAAGACTTTCTTATCATGAATCTGTTTATACTAAGTGATGTGAGATATTCAAC